GACTCTTTAAAGTAGAGACACTACATACTGATATACACCTGAACATCAGCATGAGAGGACTCTTTAAAGTAGAGACACTACATACTGATATACACCTGAACATCAGCAGGAGAGGACTCTTTAAAGTAGAGACACCACATACTGATATACACCTGAACATCAGCAGGAGAGGACTCTTTAAAGTAGAGACACTACATACTGATATACACCTGAACATCAGCAGGAGAGGACTCTTTAAAGTAGAGACACTACATACTGATATACACCTGAACATCAGCAGGAGAGGACTCTTTAAAGTAGAGACACTACATACTGATATACACCTGAACATCAGCAGGAGAGGACTCTTTAAAGTACAGACACTACATACTGATAAACACCTGAACATCAGCAGGAGAGGACTCTTTAAAGTAGAGACACTACATACTGATATACACCTGAACATCAGCAGGAGAGGACTCTTTAAAGTAGAGACACTACATACTGATATACACCTGAACATCAGCAGGAGAGGACTCTTTAAAGTAGAGACACTACATACTGATATACACCTGAACATCAGCAGGAGAGGACTCTTTAAAGTAGAGACACTACATACTGATATACACCTGAACATCAGCAGGAGAGGACTCTTTAAAGTAGAGACACTACATACTGATATACACCTGAACATCAGCAGGAGAGGACTCTTTAAAGTACAGACACTACATACTGATAAACACCTGAACATCAGCAGGAGAGGACTCTTTAAAGTAGAGACACTACATACTGATATACACCTGAACATCAGCAGGAGAGGACTCTTTAAAGTAGAGACACTACATACTGATATACACCTGAACATCAGCAGGAGAGGACTCTTTAAAGTAGAGACACTACATACTGATATACACCTGAACATCAGCAGGAGAGGACTCTTTAAAGTAGAGACACTACATACTGATATACACCTGAACATCAGCAGGAGAGGACTCTTTAAAGTAGAGACACTACATACTGATATACACCTGAACATCAGCAGGAGAGGACTCTTTAAAGTACAGACACTACATACTGATATACACCTGAACATCAGCAGGAGAGGACTCTTTAAAGTACAGACACTACATACTGATATACACCTTTACAAGACATTGACCTTCAGTGTCTGATACACTAATGTAAAAAGACAGTTAAGGGATAATGTGTTTTGGCAGATACATTGCATTATTGATTGTTTTATACCCATACACTTAATGAAATGAGAGATTCTGGTCTTATGTTATTAAATGACAGGAAAAACGAGCTCATATTTCTAATTTAGTTATTTTTCGCTCATCTTGTCATCCCACTTATTATTAAAGTTCCCCTTCAGGAATCAGCTGATGATTTTAGGGCCGATGTCTCGATGTTCAGCTGCGAGACGCTACACTCTGAGGTGTTTTTACCAAGTTAATGTGTGAAGAAACACATCAGGCATAACCAGAACCTGCAGAAACATCACGTGACTCTGACTCAGAGGATTGAAATGAATTGAATATTTGAAGAAGGAGTTGCTGCACCGTGTAATTTACAAGATAACAGTCTGTCATCAGGCTGAAGGTCGTTAACTGAGCTCTGAAATCAGCCCATAAAACTATAGGAATCTAAAACATAGTGAAGGTACAGAAACAGCACATATATATAGGACTTTATACACACACACACACACACACACACACACACACACACATACACACACATACACATACACACACATACACACACACACACATACACATACACACATACACACACACACACACACACACACACACACACACACACACACACTGGGTTGAGTGGGTTGCTAATTACACTAAGGTAAGGTAATTCTTTTTTTAAACGCTGCTTTCTTTAGATATCCGTTAATTTACCGGCTAAACTCAAGTGTTCTGCCACCCACACCTGAGTCGACGCACACACACACACACACATATTCACAAAGACACAAACAGGCGCAGATTAACACCCAGATGTCGATGAACAAACACACACGCGCTGACTCTCGCACACTTGACACAATTTACTATAATCCATTAAAGCTGAATTTACATAATACTGTCTATGCTTAACTGCCCCTGCAGAGACACACACACAGGTATGTATTTATGCTGCAGTGTGGATGACCTTGCAGCAGCAGCGACAGAGCAGAAGTGTGTGTGTGTGTGTGTGTGTGTGTGTGTGTGTGTGTGTGTGTGTGTGTGTGTGTGTGTGTGTGTGTGTGTGTGTGTGTGTGTGTGTGTGTGTGTGTGTGTGTGTGTGTGTGTGTGTGTGTGTGTGTGTGTGTGTGTGTGTGTGTGTGTGTGTGTGTGTGTGTGTGTGTGTGTGTGTGTGTGTGTGTGTGTGTGTGTGTGTGTGTGTGTGTGTGTGTGTGTGTGTGTGTGTGTGTGTGTGTGTGTGTGTGTGTGTGTGTGTGTGTGTGTGATATAATGGCTCTAATTAAGACCCTCTTTCTCCATATGTGCTGGTCTGAGATCAGCTGTCAGGCGCCAGCTGTCCTCACTATATATGGTCAGAGCTGAAGGCTTTAATGCACAATCACGAAATGATTTATTCTCCGTTTGTCTGTTTTAAATGTGTTTCCTCTGGACAGCTGTTGTAATACGGTTATCTGTGGATATACATCCTCTCAAAAGGAGGAATCTTGTTGCAGCTACACTTGACATTTCCTCTAAATAAATAATGGCTTGTATTGTTTCACATCTTTTCCTTGTTGAATTATGAATAACTCTGACCACACGTGCGAGAGGAACTGTCACGTTGTTGAGGCAAAGCACTGCGACTAGCTTTCACTGCCATGAAAGTCTTCTTAATCTGGAAGTAATACATTAAATTGATGCTTGTTGACAACCTGAAAACAATAATTCACCTAAAACACATGAGTAAATGTCCAGAACAAATATAGGAAGTTACCTAAAGCCCTAAAGCCCTGAGGCTAAGAGGGCGCTCGATGCCTGCTTCTCTCAGATGAAACCTTTATTAAGAAGGTCCAGAGTCCAGATGTATTACCACATATAATAAATAACTACAAATATATAATACTGACTCATAAAAGTAAATAAATCAAGGTTTAAGATAAGATCAAAAGGAATCACAATGCAATACAACATCAAGTGTTGAGATAAACCAAAGACTACAGATGAGTTACAAAGCAACGAGACATTTAATTTAATCTTGATAAAGGGAATCGCAAATAAACGGCTTGAAGAGAATCATGAAATGGAAAAACTGACTTTATTGTGAAATTATCTGTGCTTTAAAGGGGACCTATCATGCAAAATGCACTTTTGTACGTCTTTTCTACATGAATATGTGTCCCCGGTGTTCCAGGGAACTCACCAAGTGTCAGAAAACACAACCCTCTCTATTTTCCTCCATACCCAAATCTCTAAAAAAGGGGCTGCAACGGATCTGATAAAAACTGATCCAGATTTGAACACTGTCCTGACGTCAGGACGGTGGCGCTACAGCTATTGGGCCAACTCCACCAATCAGGAGGAGACAGCCACGGCCATTGCCGTTCTAAAGCGCTGGAGACGCTGTAGTACATATGCCAGGCCTGTAGGTGGTGCTGTTCTCACTGAATCAGCCCTTGCTAAAACAGAGCTAGAAATTGTCAAATTGAGCGAAATGAGGCATGGCTAAAATGCATGATCTGTTTGGTATTTTGAAAAAAAAAAAGTATAAATATGCCTTATATAGGTATGGTCCTACACTATATTATTCAAATATAGCATGATAGGTCCACTTTAAAATATAAAATCATTTGAATGACAAAAGCAGCTAGTTTCCCTCCTCCGTCTTTACCCACTTACTGAACTACTTTCTCCATTTCCTTTACCCTTCTTTATGCTAAGCTATGTAAAAATGTGCTCTTTTCTTCTCAATGAGTGTCATGGAAATGCATCCGTGCTGTTTCATATCCATAAGTTGCAAAAACGCTAGAAAAGAAAGTGTTTTTTTGATCACATCTGTTAATAATGCTGCTCCAAAAACTAGTTAAACAATAATGAAAACAAGGTGTTTTCACTTGAAATAAGTCCAAAAATCTGACAATAGAACAAGTGAACATTAGCTTGGTGAGAGAACTTGAAGTAAGACGGGATATTTAGATAAACCAGATCTTGTAATTAGCAGGAGAACTCATTTTGAACTATATTTCACCAGAATCAGCAAATGCTCAAAAGGTTTTCTGTGTTCTGATGTTAGTTGGTGATGTTCTAATAAAAAAATATGTGTTTCATCTGAGATACAACTCAAAGTAAGATGTTTTGACTTAACAAGATGATGCATTGTCTAAAAACAAGAGCCTATATCTCACTGCAGTGTCACTTCTGAAGTTATTGTGTCTTATATCAGGTGGAGAGACATGTTCTGACTCGATATTAGACACAGATACTGGACAAGATGTCGAGTTTTAAAGTGTGTTTGTATCACTGCTGCATGTTGATCCTCTGGTGGCCTCGACCAATAATCCTCAAACTAAAAGGATAACCCCAGCGCACCACAAAGCTCTTTAATCACTGGTTGCACATGTGTAGGAAACCAGCAATGATCAAGTCTTTAATGAGAACAGGCCAAAGTTAGTCATAGTGAGCAGCGAGTCCTGCTTCAGACGCTCTTAAAACCCAGAAAGAGAACGTTATTTTACTGAATTTATGGCGTGAAAGCTTTTAGCCTTAATCTCAGCGTGTGGTTGCAGTGCTCCTGCTGCTCCTGTTGCTCCTGTTGCTCCATCTGGTTCAATTCAGCCTATTTAAAGCACTTTGTTTATGTGTAACGCTTTCTATATTGCATTGAAATGAAGTGTGTTGGAGCTGTTTCTGAACGTGTGTGATGGAGCTGTTTCTGAACGTGTGTGTTGGAGCTGTTTCTGAACGTGTGTGTTGGAGCTGTTTCTGAACGTGTGTGTTGGAGCTGTTTCTGAACGTGTGTGTGTTGGAGCTGTTTCTGAACGTGTGTGATGTTTGTGTTTCCAGGTCTGACGACAGAAGGCGTTTATCGAGTCAGTGGGAACAAAACGGAGATCAGGGGACACAGGTCCAGACAGAAGGCGTTTACGAGTCAATGGCAAACGGACACACGACACATCACAGAAACGCATCACGGTGAGGCACACACACACACACACACACACCCCTCCGCAGACACACACATACACGCACACACACACACATGCACGCACGCACACACGCAGACACGCACACACACACACACACGCACACACACACACACGCACACACACACCTGTGCAGACACACACACACACACACACACACCTTCACAGACACACAAACAGACACACACACACACACACACACACACACACACCTTCACAGACACACACACATACACACCCCCAAACAGACAGACACACACACACACACACACACACACCTTCACAGACACACACACCTTCACAGACACACACACATACACACCCCCAAACAGACACACACACATACACACCCCCAACCAGACACACACACACACCAAGACACACACACACACACCAAGACACACACACACACACACACACACACACCCCTGCGCAGACACACACACACACACACAGACACACACACACCAAAACAGACACACACACATACACACCTTCACAGACACACACACATACACACCCCCAAACAGACACACACACACACACACACACACCCAAGACACACACACACACACACCAAGACACACACACACACACCCCCCTGTGCAGACACACACACACACACACACACACACACACACACACACACACACACACACACACTCTCGTATATCTCCAGCTACCACCTGAAGGAGCACATGTGCAGCAGCAGTTTCAAAGCACCGATGTTTCTCGTTATTTCTTTTCACAAATCCTGATCCTTTTCCCATGAGCTCTTCAGAAAGCCTGTTACCATGTTACCAATCGACTGGCGCTGTGTGTGATGTGTGCAATACATCTGCAGAGAGTCCAAACCTGACCGCGCTGCAGAAGAAAGCTTAAAGAGAAACACATGCGGAGAAAAGAGGGAAAGTTAGGAGAGCTGCTGTGAGAACAAACACAGTCCCCACTTATTGCATTGTTTCCGTTTTTATTATTGTTTATTTATGTTTGTCCGCATTGGTCAAGTACATAAATGTCTCGGTAAGATTGTGAATTACAATTTCCTCCTGCAAATAGATAGAAACCTAAGTAAGCTTTTAACGAGCTAAACATTTCCTCCAACGTTAGAAACAACCTTTCTTTACTTAAAGGGGACCTATCATGCAAAATGCACTTGTGTACGTCTTTTCTACATGAATATGTGTCCCCGGTGTTCCAGGGAACTCACCAAGTGTCAGAAAACACAACCCTCTCTATTTTCCTCCATACCCAAATCTCTAAAAAAGGGGCTGCAACGGATCTGATAAAAACTGATCCAGATTTGAACACTGTCCTGACGTCAGGACGGTGGCGCTACGGCTATTGGGCCAACTCCACCAATCAGGAGGAGACAGCCACGGCCATTGCCGTTCGAAAGCGCTGGAGACGCTGTAGTACATATGCCAGGCCTCTAGATGGTGCTGTTCTCACTGAATCAGCCCTTGCTAAAACAGAGCTATGAGCGAAATGAGGCATGGCTAAAATGCATGATCTGTTTGGTATTTTGAAAAGAAAAAGTATAAATATGCCTTATATAGGTATGGTCCTACACTATATTATTCAAATATAGCATGATAGGTCCACTTTAAACAATATGATAAGTAAAAACAGGTGTGTTTTAAAAAAAAATTGCCTTTTTAAAATGCTCTATATTGAGGCCATTTGAGTATAAAAACAAACAAATGACACAACTTCTTCCGACTGTCCTAAATAAGTCTGAATGAACAAAATAACAAATCCATAAAATCCAATTAGAAGTCATTCCTTACGGCCCGTCCACACGGCAGCGTGCGTCGCTTCAACGGAGACGCTTCCCCTTCACTTTGAATGTGGTGACGACGTCACGCTTTGCCGAACTGCATTGCGGTTCCGTCTCGTCGCTTTGCCTCCTCCGTTGCTCGCTCCGAAAGTTGAGAAATGTTCAACTTTTTAAGCGTCGACGGAAGCGTCAGCCAATCAAATCATATGCCAGTACAAGCGCTAGCCAATCAAACCGCGTGCTTGTGTGTCCGGGGCGGGAGATTCATGTGATTGGTTGTTGGTCGCGCTCCAGACACGCCCACCGGCAAGCTTCAACGCGACGCTGCCGTGTGGACGCTGCCGTGTGGACGCTGCCGTGTGGACGCTGCCCTGTGGATGCTGCCGTGTGGACGTACCGTTAATTACTCGGCAATTTGCCGAGTAATTATCACGTTTAGGTGACTTTTATTAGAAGTAATCATTGTGTGTATGTCCCAATGGCCATTAGCTTATGCATTATGACTTCTTTTAATGGTTCAAATAAAACATGTATAGTTTGATCAAAGTTAATAAATACTGAGCTCATGGTAGGCAGGCAGTATGAGTAAATCAAGACCAAGAAACATGCCTTTTAGTATGCACTTTCTACCACGTGAATGAAAGCAAACACGTATATTATTAAAGGTGGGGTAGATAATTCACTTCAGAAACACTTTTTGTTATATTCCATGGAATGCTCTTAACATCCCGATAGCAATGAATATCTGAAGTGCTTTGACAATAAATATATAAAAAATATCATCTGTGGAAGCCGTAGTACTGTAAAAAGCACGACCAATCATCTGAGCCGGCCCGGCTAAAGTAACTGGATGGCCTACCTGCCTGTCAGCCTTCCATCTGTGCACAAACTTATCTCGTGCCCTCATTGGTCATGTGCACGTTCGTGTGTGTTGGAGGAGGGGCTCTGTGAGGAAGTCTGAAGGAAGGGGCAGATTTCGGCTGCGTACTTTCAAATTCTAGCGTACTCGAGCTGGTTTCTCCATTCTTACCTACCCTAACTTTAATAACTGAATATTCTACTTCTCATATTCCTGTGAATGCCTGAGAATAAACTGCCCTTCCAGTCATTCGGTTGGTATTTAATCTATGAAATTAAAGTCACAAAATGGCAAAAATATGACTAATTCCCGCTGTGAACTGTCAGAGCTGAGAGAAGCCACACATCGTGTAAACCTGCAGCTCCCAAACCTCTTAAATAAACTCCTCTCAGTCTGGTTTTATGTTTCCATCCAGACCTTCAACATGTTATCTTTCCTCTCCTCGCTCCATTCCCATCTGTGTGTGAAAACCACCATTACAGCCAATTATCTCCTCTGTCAGTAACGAGCTGCCGGCTACTCGCCTCTTCCTCCATGCACTGCGTCCATATTGAAATGGAAATAGTGGAAGATTAGAATGTGCTTTGGGGAGTGGTCTTCGGGGGATTTAGGGGTCGCTGTGGTTCTGCTTCATTAACAGCGTGGGCAGGAGCGGTTTGTTGTTTATTTAAAACACTCATCAAACGCCTTTTCTTCAGGCCCAACCTGCTGTGGTACTTTGACACTAATGGCGCGTTTCCACTACAGCGCGGAGCACGGTTTAAGAGAGCTGTGACGTCAGCGGCCCGTCTTTGGTTGCGTTTCCACTTGGCCTAGTACCGGCCGGCGGGTCCTAATTCACAGTTTTTCTGGCCTCATAAAATCGTGGGTCTAGGGCCAGAGACAACGAGGCTGAGTCGGGCTGAGTATGCTAAACTAGAGAGAGCATCGCTGGCAAGGGGGCTACAACTACAACAAGATGGACATATTTGACCGTGATTTAATTGTAATACACGTTTCAAAATGATGAAGTAACAACATACTGATACCGGTTAGTAAAAACCATGAATTAATGCTTTGTCAAGTCTGCAGACAGACGGCAGGCGAAACACCTTTTAAAATGCGTGTTTTCTAAATGGAGATTGGCTAAGCTAACGCAGTATATGCTCCGACCGTCCACACTCACAACAACGGCCTATACAGACATAAATAAAGCAGCGACTGTATTCACCATGACACAGGCAGTCTGTGGTTTGTACTTGTTTCACTTTTGTCTAGTTTCTGAACAGATATGAGGAGCTGTGAGCTCTGAGTGCTAACAGCTAACGGCTGTGTTGTTTTTCTGGGGTTCTCATTGAAGATAACGTCACGGCTCCGCCTACACTGCGTTACTATAGATACTACCACAGTTCCTAAACTGTAATGGAAACGCGCCATAACGTACCAAACGTAGGCAAATGAATATGAGAGAGAGCCTCTAGCCGCTCTGGGGATTGACCCGACAACCTTTTAGTCACATTCTCGTTCTTATTCTTGCACACTTTTTTGAATAGCATCTCTCCAATTCTTGTGCACGAGACGTTCTCTGAGCACAGAGCCAGAGCTTTCTCTGATGGAGCGAACAGAAGACACTCCTAGCTCCAAAGGAAAAAACGATATTTCTGCTCCATCGCTTCCCTTTGAGATGATGTTTCTGTGTCGGTTCAGAGCCTCACTCTGCAGTTTGTGACACACATCAAACTGGTGTCAGCCCTCTAATTAACCCCCGAGAGGAAGAGGAGGAGGAGGACGAAGAAGAAAGAAAGACACGTCACTTCCTGTTTTGGTCAAAGGACGATGAAGAAGAGGGAGGAGGGAAAAAAGG